CTCTCCCTCCGCCCCACTATCATGATCCCAGTTCTACCTTACAAATCTGGCCAGACCAGAGGATGTACACTGGTGCAGACAGGAACTGGAAACACGGGAACCCAGGACAGATGAACCCCTCAGGACCAGTAGTGAGAGTGGCGATACAGGGAGGGTGGAGGGAAGGTGGGGGAGAAACGGGGAACCAATCATAAGGATCTACATTTAACCCCCTCCCTGGGGGATGGATAACAGAAAAGTGGGTGAAGAGAGACATCAGACAGTATAAGATATGACAAAATAATAATTTATTAATTATCAAGGGTTCAGGAGGGAGGGAGGGGAGAAATGAGCTGATACCAAGGGCTCAAGTAGAAAGCAAATGTTTTGAGGATGAGGGAAGAAAACGTACAAATGTGCTTGACACAATGGATGGATGTATGGATTGTGATCAGAGTTGTAGGAGCCCCCCAATAAAATGACAACAGCAACAAAGACCACATATTATATTAACTCTTTATTTGAAATATCCACAGCAGGCAAATCCAGAGAGAACGTCTCTAGTTTCCTGGGGCTGGGGCGGAGGGCATGGGGGGTGACTACTAAGGGACGGTGGGTTTTCTCTTGGGGAATGACATCGTGTCTTTGAGGTTTGTGCCACTCTGGACGCTTAAAGCCATTGATGAATCGTACCGCACATTTACTACATCCCAATGAAAAAACACAAGAAGTTTTAAAACATGTCCCCTGATCCACTTTTTTCTTTTGCTCTGGCCAGCGAGGCAATTGGGCTGCTTATCAGAAGGTCCAAGGTTCAAACCCACCAGCCACTCTGAAAGGTGGGATGTCAATGCTTACTGCTTCGGCAACTCAACCCTGATTTGCAAGTTCCCTGTGAACTGGAGTCTACTGGACGGCAGTGGGGTTGGTTTTGGTTTGGGCTGGCGGCTGAGTGAATGGGAAAGGAAGGGCAGGAAGTCAGTCAGAAGGCTGCTGGGGTACCTGAGAAAACTGACGGTGCTTGAGACAATGTCTTCCACGTAGCACAGTGGCTCTCAACCTGTGGGTCGTGACCCCTTTGGGGACTGGGGGTCGCCTAAGACCATCGGAAAACATGTATTTCTGATGGTCTTAGAAACCGAGACATTGCTCCTCCTCTGTCTCCAGGAGGGTCTTGCCCACATAATGACATCCTTGTGCCAACCCCATCACATACACCCTGTACCAATACAAGTGTGTGACAGGGTTGGTGCCATAATGTGCTTATGCAGAACAGTCACGTGTAGAGAGCAGCCACTGTGTAGAAAACAGCAGTAGTGGAGGTAAAAGACACTTCAAGAATTATTAATAATGTTCAATTTGTAATAATGAAAATACATCCTGAATATCAGATATTTACATGATGATTCATAACAGTAGCAAAATTACAGTTATACAGTAACAACATGTTAGCAAGGAACAATGAAAGCTTTCCTTAATCACTGTGTGGGTCCAGCAGGATGGGCCAGCAGGCTGCCGTGGGCCTTAGCCCGGCCTTGGAAGGGAGAAGGGTGTGGCGTAAGGGAGGGGGCTTGAGGGTGGGGTGGGGGGCTGGGCTGGAGGAGCACTGGCTGTCGGGGGGCCAGAGAGAAAGTCCAGTGGGAGTGGCAGTGGCAGTGGGAGAGGAGAGGCGAGGGGAGCAGACAGACTAGCTGAGGTCCGGGAAATGGGCGTGTGCCCACATGGGTCATTCTTGCCCCGAGTCTGCGAGGATACGGTCCAAGTGGAAGGAAGGGGGCATTTCACGCCTTTCTTCACCAGGGCTCCCCGAGAGCTGCTGGAACCACCCTGTCCACCAGGAACCCCAGAGCGTGCCGGGATCACCCTCGGCAGGCGCTGTGCTCTGGGTGGGACAGCCCAGTCCTCATCAGGGACCTCCCCTCTTATCCCTCCTCCTCCACTGGGGACCCACTCTGCCCCCAGGGAAGGCAGGCCGGCCAACAGGGCAGCTGTCGGGCGAGGTGCCAGCCCACGGCCTGACCTCCATGGGCCAATGGCAGAGGCACGGGAAAAGTCATCACAGAGCTGTCCACGTGCCTGAGGCCAGTGCCAGGCCCTGGGGCAATCCCCACCCCCACTGTGGGGACAGTGACTCCCCCTCCAAGGAGATGCTCTGAGCGCCTCCTCTGCACAGAGGATGGGCGTCAGCCCCTCCAGGCTGCCACTCCGAGCTGTGTGACATGTGTGGTCCGAGAACGAGCCCGTGAGCGGACACCAGCCGTCTCTTAAACAGCAGCTCCAACAAGGCTGCCACCAGGACAGGACAGGACGCTCAGCCCAGGGCGGCCTGCGATGAACGCGAGTCTCCGGGGCTCCTGACCTACCTCTGGAAGCAGGCTGGAGGGCTGGGTGACAGTCACGGCGGACACTGGTGTCCAGATCGGTCCTCAGTCTGAGGTCAGGGGTCAGAGGTGGGGGGGCCAGGCTTTCTCTATGTCGGGGTGCATGGCCTGTGGGAGCCACTCGCAGTATTCCGCCAGCAGGTCTGCAGGGCCAGGAGAAGCAGCGCGTCAGCGGCATGGCGGCCATCTGAACTCAGGGGGGACCCAGGGGAGAGGCTCGCCGCTACCACGGCCCACAAGCCCCTCCCACCAACCCTGGCTCCCTGCCAGGCCACAGGACCCCACCCCAGCCCTGGGGCTCAGGCCATGTTGGGCCTCAACGCACAGCGGGGGTTTTTCTTCCAAGCGGCCAGCAGGGCATCTCGGCAGTCTGCTTTCTCGGAGACCAGAGCTTTCAGGAGGCTCTCTGTGCGGGGCTGCAGCCTGCCAGAGGAACGGGGTGTAGGCAGTTGGGCGGAGGTGAAACCCACCAGGTATGGCAGGGCACGTGGGGTGGGGCTGTCTAGACCTTACTCCCGCCCAGCCCCTGCCTCCGTGTGTGTGCTGGCTGCTGCAGTAAAATGTCCTTCCTCCTTCAGCTTCCAGTGAGACCCACGCCCGGCTTCCCTCTCCCTCCTGCAGGTGAGCTGGTCTGCGTGTCCCAGGGGCCCTTCCCATGGCTCTAAGGTGTGTGTGGAGGCCACGGCCTATGCGGCATGTATACGGCCCACCACCCTGTGGGGTCCCACTACGACCACTGCTTTGCCAGACCCCACGGGGCACAGGAGGCCTGCCACCCAAGGGAAGCACAGGGCCCCGTGGCACCCCAAGGGGTGGCTGGTGGGCTCCAACTGCTGACAGGGCAATTGGCAGCCCAGCAAGGCACTCATCGTGCCCAGAGGCTTCCCTGGTGGGTTGGGTTGTGTTCAGAGCACGCGGCTGTACCTGGCCCACGTCTTCAGCATCGTGCTAGGGCTGGACAGCAGACAGCTCTGGTACGAGGCCAGCTTGTGGAAGACCTAGAGAGAGGCCGTGGGAAGGGGTGAGAGACCGCTCTCCCTCCTCCCACAGACCCTGAGAAAAGAAAACAGCCGGGGTGGGGGATGCAGGGGTGGGGTGGAGGGGGCTGAGAGACACCAGGCCACCTACCTGTCCTTCCAGGAGAAACCGGGCAAAGTGTTTGTACCGGTCGATGCCCTCGGGGAAGTCCACCTGGACTTCAGGGAGTGGCCAGCTGACCCGATCTAGAGGGTGGGAGCCAGTGAGCCTGGGCCGGGAAGGCCTCCCCGCCCCGGCCTGTCATAGGGTGGAGACGTGGGTAATGATTGGGACAGGCGTGGGCAATGTCCCCTGGGACCCACTCACAGAACACGCTGGCCCGGTGACACAGCACCCGCCCGGCCTCAGGGCAGTAGGTGGGGGGCGGCTCCTCAGCCGGTGGGCCGAACTGGCAGTAGGGAGGCAGCAGCGTGGGCACCCATTGCACCTCCACCGCCGAAACACCTGGGGAGCGGAGGGGATCAGTCAAGCTGATGGGGCTCCTGGGCTCCCTCCCGGGGAGCGAGGCGGCAGCCCTGCCTCCTACCTTTCATGTACATCTTTGTGGTTTCCACGATCTCCTGGTAGACCACAAACTCGGGGAGCTCCCTGAAGAGGACGGATCCGGGGTGGATGAAGACGGGGTCTTCCAGGAGAGGAGTCTGAGAGGGAAGACAGCGAGCCAGAGTGAGGGTCTGGGAGGCACCCTCCTCACCAGCTGCCTCCATGTGTTGGGCAACTGAGCGCTGGCGGCTGACACGCTGAGAGCAGGCCACCGGTGAGGCCGGACAGGCACTGCGAGAGCTACACCGCCATGCAAGGGCCACGCAGGTGACAGGACGGAGGCTCGGTCCCTGCTGCTTTGGGACATGACAGCAGCCCCCCACAGGCGGCTACTCCTCCCGGGACAGGCAGGTCCACAGGCACAGAGGCACCACGGCTGGCGTCTGGGGCAGGGGAGGGAGGGGACAGGGACTGCTCGTGAGTGGGCGTGGGTCAACACGTCCTAGAACCGTGGGGATGGTCGCCTGCCACTGAACCGTGGGCTGTGTAGCGTACATGGCCTCTGCGCCCTGTCAGAAAGGTGCCTGGCCTGGTCAAGCAGCAGGGGACAGGGTGGGCAGGCGGGCCTTAGGTGTAGGGACAGACACACTCCTTATCCCCCCACCCAGGAACCTTTGTTCCCCACTGTCTTCCAACGGATTCTAGCTCACAGCAGCCCGTGCGGCAGAGAACGGCCCGTGGGGCTTCTGAGGCAGTAAATCTCCACGGGAGTGGATGGCCTCCTCTTCAAGAAGAGCAGAGGGGTTGACAGCTGCCAGCCTCCTGGTTAGCAGCCGGGCACTTCAACTGCTGCCCAGGCAGGGGCTCCTCCACCCTGGGACTTTCCCAGGGGGATACAAGGCTTAGGACATGCCTGCCGAGGGCCCAGGCTGACAGGACAGCAGGAGGGGGTGGGGGAAAGCACCCAGGCTCAGCGGCTGCCCCGGCCAGCGAGCTCACCTTATAGGCGTTCCTCCACTTGTCCTCCAGCAGCTCCTCGCTCTGGACCCTGCGGGCCAGGTGGTCGCCCAGGCCGGCCGTGACAATCTGGCGCAGGTAGGTCACCTGAGTCTCAGAGGGCGGCTGCATCTTGGGGTCCACGAACAGGCCAGCCTCGGGGCACACGGCGTTGACTGGGGGAGGGCAGCCGGGAGTGAGACTGGGGCAGTGTCCACCGCACAGCCTGGGGAGATCCTGGGAGCGGACGAAGCAGCCCCTGAGGGGCCCTTGGCTCTAGATTTTACAAAAGCAGCTCACCAGGGCAAACCACCTGACGGCATGACCCCACCTCCCTCCTCACCTCCCACCCCCGATGGGCTTCAAGGCATGGGAACCCGTGGGGCAGGCTAGAACTGGCCTGCAGGGCTTCCGAGGCTGGACACCGGTACAGAGTAGAAAGAAGACTCCTCCCTCCGATGGAGCAGGGGGTGGGTTTCACTCAACAGGCGGCCCTCGGATGAGCCGGTGGTGTTTGGACCACCAGGGCACTGAACCCATCCCAGACCAGGGACCGACAGAGAGCCTGGACCTCAAGCCTGCCTGCAACTCCAATGTGCCCTTGGGTGTCTGTGTGGCTGAGCCCCGAGGGCCCCTGGGTCTCACCAGGACTCGGCCTCTGCTGGGGGGATGGGGGCTTGGGGGTGGGAGGTGGGTAGAGGGTGGCTGCTGCTTTGAGGAAGATGACAAAGAGCCAGGGCAGGAGTGGGACCCGGGAGACGCGAGGGCAGAAACGGACTGCTGGCATTGTTCTGAGGCACGCTGGGCAAGGCCCACTGTCTCCCCTCCAGAGCCCGGGCTCAGGTGCACGAGCGCACATAGGACACGACTGGGAAGCCAGCCGGCGCAGAGCAGGGACCTCGGCTCCGCCACCTGCTCGAAGTGTCCAACCTCATCCATCACGGACAAGCTGAGGGCGGGGCTGCCTATCCAGGGGCTCTACTCGGACCAAGCAGGGGTCCTGGCCCAGGGTCCAGGGCCAGAGGGCCACAGGAGCGCCTACCTGCAGAGGTCAGCTGGCCCCGCAGACGCCGGATCTCCAGCATGGCCTTGTACCGGAGCCCATTGGCTTCGCAGAACTGGGCCGAGCCACCAGCGAACTCCCAGGCTCCCACTGCACCTGTGGGGGTGAGGGGTGCTGGCTTACAGATCTGCTCTAGGCCCACTCCCTCACCTCTCTGGGCCAGACTGGCCCTCCACGCCCCCTCATCTTTCCACCAGCTTGCAATACCTCCCGAACCCCCTCTCCCAAATCCAGCTCCTTGGGCTACCTCCACTCATCCCCTCTGCCCGGCCACCTCACCGCCCACCTCCACTCATCCCCTCTGCCCGGCCACCTCACCGCCCACCTCCACTCATCCCCTGCACACTCCACACCGCTTCCCTCCATACACCCAGTCCGATGTCTGCCTCACCCCTCCACCCGTCCTCCCCACCCCCAGCTCTACTACCCGGCTGCCAACATACCCAGAAGCACCATGAGGTCTCCAAGCAGCAGGGAGGCGCCCCGCCCCGCCCAGGCCCTCTTCACGTGGGCCACGCGGGCCCGCTTCGTCTTCAACGTGGCTAGCTCTTCATCACTGGCAGCCGGTCTGCATGTACACACATACACACCACAGGCTACCGACTGCCCAGCCGGCCATGCTCGGCCCACCAAGGCAGGTCCCAGAGAGGCATGGAGTCCCGGACCAGCACGAGGATTCTCAAGCCCCGCTCTAAGTTCACCACTGGCAGGATGAGAAGGGCCGGCACCAGGGCAGCCTCACCTATCTCTCAGGTAGAGCCCCGCCCCACCCCACGCCCTCTCTTTCAGGGCGCTGAGCCATTTATGACACACCAGGGACCCCTGGTGTGCAGAGATCGCCCTCAGCAATGCAGGCAAAGGGCACGGGCGCACCCCATTAGGAAGCGAGGAAACGCTCGCTCCCCTATTGAGGAAGGGGCGCTGCTGTCCTGTGAGGCAAGGCCCGAGTTGTTGATCCTGCCCTCTCAGCCTCGGGCCCCCTTGCACACACACACACACACACACACACACACACACACACACACACGCACAATGAGTGGATGCTCCTGCAGCCTGGTCACTATGAAGCACAGTGGTTACTGCAAGGTCGGCAGTTTGAAACCACCAACTGCTCCGTGGGGGAAAGACGAGGCTGTCTACTCCCGTAGAGAGCTGCGGTCTCGGAAACCTGCAGGGGCAGTGCCACCCTGCCCTGTAGGGCTGCTGGGAGTCGGCCTCTGCTCGGTGGCAGTGAGGGGTTTCCATGTCTAATAGTGCAGCTTTGGCCACTACATGCCCTTCTTCTGAAACCAGCTACTCTCTGGCTGCCAGACACCCTCAGGGCCCGAGTGAACACCCACAGTCAGTCAGGAGAGAAGGTGAGCGCTGGTTCCCACCCCAGGGAAGGGCTCAGAGATAAAGGGGGGCTGGAGCATGGCCCCGGGCTTCATGAGCTCGGCCCCCGGCTCGCACCTGTCCAGCTCTTCGAAGAGCTCGCGCACGGTCATGGCGGCCACGATGGTGATGGTGTAGGGCAGACAGCCATGCTGGCGGCTCAGGGACAGCATCTTGGCGAAGCGAGGTGCCACGGGGAACGTGGCCATGGTCCTGCCCAGCGGGGAGATGGGGCAGCTCACCCGGGACCTCTGCAGCTGCCGCACCCTGGAGGGTGAGGGCGTGTGTGGGTCAGGGGCCTGCTGAAGGCTCTGGAATGGGTGCCCCATGCAGCCCGTCCTACCTCTCTGACTTCTGGGGCGCCTCCAGGGCCCCCAGTGCAATCAGCAGCTCCTCGGCGGCGATGAGGGCCTCCACGGAGGGCGGGGTCGGGAACGGGAAGTTGATGACCTGGGGACACAGGAGGCGGAATGAAGTCTGTCAGGCACAGTGCCAGCCGGGTTCCCCCATCCCAGTGGGAGGCCCGGCGGAGCAAGGCCGGATCATGCGGATCCTCAGGGCTCCAAAAGGGGTCGGCACATTGTACTCAAGAGCAGAGGGGCCTCATGGGTACAGAGAGACCCTTGCCTGTTGGCCTCCGTTTCCTGTCACATGGGGACTGGACGGTGGACACGACAGTGACCCTTCCCTAGGTTGTGAGGGCTGTGGCAGGCAGAGGCAGGCAGGAGAACCCCACTGTGGTCCCCAGGACACTGATAGTGACCTTTGGTGGGCACACGCTCCATGTTTCCGGAGACTGCTCACGGGGGAGAGGGAGAGACGAGGGAGGCCGCTGGGCAGGGCTGATGCAACACCCATCCTGGCTGGGGCGGCAGTGTCAGGGTGGCAGTGTCAGGGCCCCAGGGCCTCAGCTGAAGAAAGGGGACCCCGAGGCACAGGCAACGAATGGGGGACAGCTTGCCGTGTGGAGCCCGGCCACCGAGTGTGCCGGCTGGGCTCCCAGACACGGTGGGGCTGGGGCTGCTCTACAACTGACCTTCTCGATGTTGAGGGCCTTCATCTGGAGGATCAGGTCCTCCACGGGCCGCCGCGTGATTTCTGGAGGAGGGAACCGCTCAAAGTCGCCAAAGACGGCGGAGGAGTACAGCCTGGGGAAGGAGCATGGTGGGGAGAGGGTGAGTGGGCTCACCCGAGGTCGGGTCTGTGCAGGCAGCTCAGCCCTCACCCCCAGCCATCCAGCCGAGTCCCGCTCAGGACAACCCCATGCGAGGCTCCTGGGGCCGTCAGTCTTTAGAGTCAGCCTCCTCTTCAACCCCAGCTGCAGCTGGTGGGGTTGAACCACCAACCTTCCAGCTCTCGGCCCTTTGTTACCAGCAGGCACGACCGAGCTCCTCCTCAGTCAGTGCAGAGATGCCCTTACAGAAACAAGACTGCCTCGTGTTCATGCTGCAGAACTGCAGGCTGCAGCCCCGTGCTTGGCCAAGCCAGAGCTCCCGTCACCAAGTGCACTGGACTCAGCACGGCAGCGGGGGCTGCTAGCCGAAAGGCCGGTGGTTCAAATTCGGTAGGCATTATGCTGGGCGAGAGGAGGCTGTCTGCTTCTGAAAAGCCTCGGCAACGCCCCCACGCCCGGGGCAGTTCGACAGTCCTGCAGGGCCCGGGTGAGTTGGCAGCAAGGAGACGTCCATGGGTTTGGGGTCTGAGTAGAATGGACTTGTCCTGAGACACCGGCCACGGGCAGCCTCCCTCCACCTTTGCTTCTTGGAAAGAAGCGCTTGCAGCACTTGGGGACACTGTCTGCGTCCCGGGGTGTTACCAGGGAGCCAGGACACGTGAGGACCACCACTCTGTACAGCCCCGCACCATCCACGGGCAGGGCCAACGCCTCCCAAGGCAAAGTCCAAGTGGACCTGCTGCCCAAGGGGCTACTGACTGCACCTGCCAGCCTGCAGGAAAGCCTCTGAGGGCCACCCTTCTTTGCTCCTGGGGGACAGGGCCCTGCAAGGAGCCCAGAGTGGAATATGGCATACCTGTAGCAATGGCCGGGCTCTGTCCGCCCGGCTCGGCCTGCCCGCTGGTCGGCGGAGGCCTGAGACACCCAGGTGACGCGGAAGGAGGACACGCCCGTGACTCGGTCATAGTAACGCTTCTTGACCTTCCCGCAGTCCACCACGTACTTGATGCCGGGGATGGTGAGGGAGGTCTCAGCCACATTGGTGGCCACGACACACAGCCGTGTCCCCTCTGGGGGCGGTCTGAAGACCTGCCAGGGTGGGGGAGGGGAGACACCAGAATCAGGAGTAGTTCCTGGGAGTGGGGATAGGGCACCCAGCCAGAAGTCTCTCTCCACCAGGGTGAGGTCAGCCAGGCAGAGGTTAGGTTGGGAGGCCACGGGTCAACAAGCCCCGCCCATTCTCAGGCCACCATGCCCCTAATCTTCCTCCAGGGGAATGCGCCCGGTCTCCAGGAGGAATTCTTGGCATGCCCTCAGAAACCCAATCATATGGTTCGAAACACACCCCGCCACGGGCATCCCAGAGCAAGCCCTTTACAGCACACACCCGCAGTTATAACCTCCGGAGACGCCCCTTGGGAGGGAAAAAAACCCAGGAAACCCAGAACTTGATGCTGAGCCCGCCGATTGTGCAACAGTGGCAGTGGACCCAACTGTGTGTCCTTTGCTGATCACACAGAGTGGGGTGTCTGACACCTGGGAGATGGAGATACTGCCCCTTTGTCCTTTGATCTGCCTGAGGGCTTCATAGCAAACCCAGGACCCGGAGACACCAGGGCCAAGTGGACGGAGCCCAGAGATGTTGCGAAGCCAATGCATATGCTCACGGTGACGCTACTGCCCACTGCTCCCCGCCCCCTGTGATGTAGGTGAACCGAGGCCGGGAGCTGATGGAGCATGAACATGCCTAAAGGGAACAGGAGGCTGAGTGAGCTCCAGGGCCCCTTCCTTACAGGCAAGGGGTTGAGGCCAAAGATCGGATGGGGAGCACCCCAGGGTGTCACTCACCTGTGCTTGCCTCTCGGGGGCCAGCAGAGAGTACAGCGGGAGCACGTGCAGCGGGAGGGAGGCATCTGGCTGCTCACCTGGGGAGAGAGGAGGCTGCTGGGTGCCCCCCACCAGGGCAGATAGGAGACCCACCCGGCTCTGCACCGACACTGACGTTGACACCCTTGAGCTGGTTCCCACCCCAAGGTGGACGCCGAGGAGTGCTGGGCAGCTCTTCCTGCCCGAGGAGCCCACCACTACAGCCTCTGGCCACCCTATGGCTGGGCTCTCCCAGAGGCTGGTCAATCCAGGCTCTGACTCGTCCCGAGTCCTGCCGGCACTGAGGTGGTGGGGCCTGAGTGTGTGTGGGGAGCCTGGTTCGGAACAACTCACTCATCCTTGCTAGCTGCTTGGGGATGGATCCCTGACTGCCGCTGGTGCCTTCTGACGGGGCAGAGATGCAACCGCACCCACGCAAGGACAAGGGGGGGGAGGGGGGGCGCCCTGCCGAGTCCAGCCAATGACCTCGGTCTCCAATACTTCTGACAGCTCCAGGAGACCCACCGGGCTGGGCTGCGGGCAGGCAGGAGGCTGGAGAGCCACATTAGAAGTGGGGCAATGGATGTGGTTGCTAGACAACGTCCATGGTGGGGGATGGGGTGGTGTGGGGGTGGGGAGCTGCTTATGAGGGTGATAACTGAACCGCTCCAAAGCCTCTGTGTGCAATGTGGCCGCATTCGGCTCAGGGGCAGAGCCCAGCCACCCCAGAGCCCACATGACCCAGCAAAGCGAGTCTGGGCAGCGGACCCATCACAAACAAGGTAACAACAACACGAGGACCAGGCCTCTGAGCACCCAGGCCAGGCAGATAGTAAACGTGCCTGGCTGCTAGTCAAAAGGTCAGAGGTACGACTCTACTCTGGGGACACCCTGTTAAGAGAGAACCTGGCCATCATTGCTGGGCCAATTAGCCACTGGACTCCTGCGGAGGGGCTGGGAGCCGGGGACAACAGACAGGAGCCCAGTTGGTGCTGGCCATGAGAGCGCACAGGCTGGGCTCCCAGCTCCCAGGGGCCCTGGTCACGGCCGACAGGTAGCTCTGCGGAGGCCTCACCTTCGCCGGCCCCCTCGTCCAGTTCGCCCAGATCCAGGTCCAGGTCAGAGCCCAGGGCTTCTTCCTCGTCATCCATCTCGGCCTCCCGGTCCTCATCCCCCTCGCCCGCGGGCAACACCGAGTAGTCATCCAGGTGAATCTGGGGCAGCATCTGCGGCACAGAAAGACACCAAGGCCGCTGCCTGCAGGTGACCCTGGGCGGACGCAGGTGGCCCAGGTGGACAAACGCAAATGCAAATCGAATGCAGTTGGAGGCCCGGCGCCCAACCCACCCCGGGGGCGGGCTCTTGCCTTTTGTCTGAAAATCAGGGATCCACAACCAGAGTAGTCTCACAGGAAGACCATCCCCCAGCACACAGCAGGGAGACAGGAGGTCAAGGAGCCCTGCCAGCTGTGGACTCTAAGATGCTGACTCTAAGGGGCCGTGACCCCTTTGGGGGTCAAACGAGCCCTTCACGGGGGTCGCCTGATTCATCACAGTAGCAAAATGACAGTGATGAAGCAGCAACGAAAGTAATTGCATGGTTGGGGGTCACCACAACAGAGGACCTGTATGACAGGGTCATGGCATGAGGAAGGCTGAGAACCACTGCTCTAAAGGCAGAGGAACAGCAAAGAAAGGCTTCAGTTCGGTTACTGGAAACGGTACAGTCCGGTACAGAAGGGTTTGCCGGGCAGCTCTGCTGCTAGCTCTGCTGGACTACAGTAAAGCGATTGACAGCTAGTGGATCACACACCCCCTGTGGTGAAACTCACAATCAGCATCACTAGGGAGCCTGTGTGATCCGTATGGAGGGAGGTCCTGGTGTGGCAGGAGGAGGTGGCCCCTTTAAGGCGCTGTACTGGCGAGGTCCCTGTCACTGGTACCACTGTCTACACCCCAACTGCAGTCCTCATCCCATACGGAACCTCTGTCCTTCAGTAACGACCCCCTGAATTCCCCCGCTGCCTGCAGTACTTTCTATGTTTTTGCTTATTTCTGGACATTTCTGACTGTGTTTCTCTCGAACGGTTTTAAGATGAAATCTAACCACATGCAGCTACCGAGTGGCTGGAGAAGTGAGTCGAATGAGCCTGGACACATACGTTCTCCATTGGTATTCACTTTCCCTTAAGCTCAACACAGTGGCTGCAGCTCTCCCGGGGCCAGTGGCCAGGCTGGACCTCTTGCCCCGGGACCCGATCTCCTACCTACCGCAGCCCGAGCCTTCTTGGCCCTCGCCCGAGACTTCTTAAACTTCCGGGTTTCTTCCACGGAGTCTCCCTCATCTTCCTTCTCTGCATAAAGACGGACACGCGAGGGAGAAAGGCCATTTGTGGCCGGAGCTGGGTTAACAGGGGGTTGGCTCTGTGGAGTGCCAGCCCACTGCAGCGTGGAGCGTCTGCTCCCGGGGGTGACGTGGGACTGGGCAGCAGGCCAAGGCTGACTGCTTCCCTGCACGCCCACCGCGCAGGGCTGAGGGCTGTCCTGGGGGCAGAGGTGCCAGGCTTACTTACCTCGCTGCAGCCCACGCCGGGTGCAGGGGAAGGTCTTCCGGAGCCGGCGGCACATGGCATGCACCTCTGCCTGCCCTGTCAGGAACACCAGGATGCCACCTGGGGGAGGAGGGCGAGACTTCAGCTCACACTAGGCCAAGACCCCACCCAGGTAGAGAACAGAGCCGTTACCCCCTCTACCCACCCCCAACCCCTGCCCCCGGCCAGCCACGGCTAGGGTGAAGGGGGAGGAGAAGGCAGTGGCTAGAGGAGGAACCCCTTGTGTGGGAGGGTGAGAGAGGGGACAGCATGGGAGAGGCCTGGAGGTGAACCAGAGTGGACATGTCCCTGGGGAGCTGACCAGGGAAACTGCAAGTTCCTGTGGAAACCTGAGGGGGCAGTGAGCTTTGAGGGGACATGGCACCCATGACGCTAGACTGTGTGTGCAGGGACAGCGTGGTGGGGGCCTGTCTCCAACAACAACAGAGGTGGGTTGTTTGTAAGGAACCCCCTGCTGGGAGGGAGGGAGTGAAATGAGGCTGAGAAGGGAGCCCCCCCCCAGGAGAATGGGCCTGAAAGGAGGTAGGTGAGGGTCGGCCGTGCTGCCCTCCACAGCCCCCTGGATCGGAAGCATGAGGGCTGCTGTAGCAGACAAGGGAGAGAGGTCCCGAGGGGAGGGAGACAGCCAATGGCTGAGCCAGCCACTGCCCAGGGACCAGGCTCGCGCGTGGACGTACTGGTAAGCCACCCCGCACACTCACAGAGAGGGTGGGGCCGCTGGAAGGTGTCCTACCCCGTCCTAACGGGAACAGTGGGCCGGCCTCTGCTCGAGGGTGAGACGCAAGGGCAGGGGCTGGGAGGGATACCCTTCACCCCAATCGCAGTATTAAAAAAACATGCTCATAAAGACGGGGTCTCTGAGGCTGGGGGCTCGTCAGCTCACATCAGCCACTGTGTCTTAGAACTTGAGATCAGAGGATCGAGACGGTGCCCAGTACGGCCACCCAGCCCTGTGCCTGGGAGCACAGGCGGTCCTGGGCAGAATGGGAGGAAAACGTAGACCGAAACCGATCGTAAAACAAACATCAGACATACTCATCTAGGAGACACTGGGGAACAAGGACAAAGATTCAAGCCCTCGGACGCCCTACCTACGAAACAAGCGCGGCCCCGGCCAGAGATCACTATGCAGGCAGACCGTCCACATGCATGAGCAAGGCGCTTTCAGACCAACTGACCGCAGACCCAAAGGGCAGCTTGTGCCCCAGCTCTGAGAGCAGGAGGGGGAGGGCAGGAGCGGAGTCGGGGACCAGGGCAGGCTGCAGGGGGTGGGGGGGGGGATGACAGCAACATCCTGAAATAGGGCTGCAAGGAGAAGGACTTGCTGGGTAGACTTCACCCAAGTAGAGAGAGGGAAAGGACCGTCATGGAGAGCCTTGGTGAACACAGCCCACCCTGTCACCACCCTGATTCGGGCCACAGGCCACCAGAACTCCGAGACAATACACTTCTGCTCCTACCAGCCAGGAGCAGGCAGCGGGGAGGGTGGGGGAGCGTCTGCACTGGCCAGACTGCTGGAGGCCAGGAGCACAGACAAGGAGGGGACCTCCAGGAGGTAGCGGTCAAGCCACACCCCGATCCTGTGAGGTGACTGCTCTCCCTCTGTCTGTCCTTGCTGTGCAGGACAAGGACAGGGTAGCAGGTGTGGGTGGGGAAGTATTTTCACAGACGATACTACAAATGTTCAATGTGAAAGCAGTCCGGTACCTATCACCCCCTCCTTGGGGGACGGACAACAGAAAAGTGGCCGAAAGGAGACACTGGTCAGTGTAAGGCATGGGAAAAAAAGTTATAAGTCATCAAGGGTTCAGGAGGGAGAGGGCGTCGGGGAGGGGGGAAATGAGCTAATACCAAGGGCTCAAGTAGAAAGAAAACGTTTTGAAAATGATGATGCCAACAGAGGTACAAGTGTGCTTGACTTATGGATGGATGGATGGATGGGTTGTGATGAGAGCTATGGGAGCCCCAATAAAATGACTTTTAAAGACAAAAAAAAAGAGGAGCTCAGGTAGTGCGGGGCTGAGGCACCCCCTGCTCCCAGGGAGGGTGGCGGGTGGAACCCAAGGGCAAAAGGTGAGGCCACCTGCTACCATGGAGACCCAGGCTGGATGTCCCTCTAGGGGCAGGTCCACCCTGTCCTACGGGGCACTGTGAGCTGCAGTTGACCTGATTGGGGGTGGGTGGGTGTCATTCTGCTTATCTAGCCCCCCCACTGAGGCAGGCCAGTGCACGGAACACTGTGGTACCTGTGGGGGGATGGGGGCCCAGCAACGACAGGTGCCTTTCCCAAGGCTCTCAGCGGTGAACTACTTGCCGCGGTAGGTGGCAGGTGTAGCCTTGGTGCTCACCTGGCCAGGGCCTTACCTGGAGGCAGCATCCGGTGGATCTTGCAGACCTTCCGGAAGCACTCCCCGCTGTAGTCCTCCAGTGGCGTCCGCTTGTTAAAGTGCACGGTGACCGGGAACTGCCTGGAGTCGACCTGGGAGAGGCCCCGGGAGGCAGTGTGGGTGCTGATGGGTAGAAGAGGGACCGCCC